ACTTATAAAAATTCAAAGGTAAACATTAAATGAATTCAGCCTGGGGATATAGCTCAGGGGTGCAGCATCTGCCTGGCAAGAACAAGGTCTTGAATTTGATTCCCAGTATGGGAGGGGGTGACATTAAATGAATCCTGTTATTGTCAAGCACAGCAGGGCACCCCTGTGATCCCAGCACTCAAGAGGCTGAGGCAGTGCCAAGAGGCCAACCTGGGCTACGGCTATATAGTGAGTTCAAGGCCAGCCTGAACTACATAGTGAGACCCTGTCTCAAAAACAAAACAAACAAATGAATCCTGTTATGCAAGGCCTTCTTAAATTTTTGCTGGGATATGAATATGTGAGAAATTTATTACTAACTACACATATCATCACCCTAACACTCTAATACTTGTATTAATAAATGAGAAATGAAAAGGTTACAGTGACAAAATTCTACCCTTGCATTTTCTAATAGGGTTTGGATTTGCAGGAATATAGCCTAAAATCTAGGTTTGGCCCAAAGTCAAATAATTACTAACATGGATTTTTCAAGAATTACTAGCTGGAGGGTAAACCCCTCCTACCTCCCAGGAGCTATTCTTATTCCCCATTCTTATTCCTCATTCCCATTCCCCAATAAATTTTCCTACTCTAAAAAAAAGAAAGAAAAAGAAATACTAGCTGGACATGGTGGAACACCCCGGTAATCCCAGCACCCAGGAGGCTGAGGCAGGAGGATCACAAATTTGACACCGGCCTGGGCTACATAGTGAGTTCAAGGTCAGCCAGGTCTACACAATGAGACCCTGTCTCAAAAAAAAAATCAAAAGAGAATTATTGACAATAAGTTCAAACATTAATAAGTTGTAATGCCTCTCCCTTCCCCTAGCTCTTCTGTTTTTTAAAAATGTTTGCCATAATGGGAATTGAACCCAGAACCTTCTCACCGAGCTACATCCCCAGCCCTTTCTTCATTCATTTTGAGACAGAATCTTACTCAATTGCCCAGGCTGACCTGGAATTTGTTTGTTTGATTTATAAAGTGTGGAGGGAAGAATATTAAATTCTCTCACTGTAGCGATATATTTATTTTCCCTTGTAAATCTAATAATTTTTTTTTTTTGGTACCAGAGATTGAACTCAGGACCTTGCGCTTTTGAGGCAGGCGACAGAACCGCTGAGCTAAAATCCCAGGCCCTGGCCTGGAATTTGTAATCCTCCTGCCTCAGCCTCCACAGTAGCTGGGATTGTAGGCATGCACCACCATACCAGGCTAAAAGACAATTTTTGTTTGTTAGATTATAGAGTTCCAAGAATTGGGTTCAATGAAATTTAGATTTTTTTGAAGAGCTAAAGGAACTGACTGTATTTTTCTCAGAATGATGAATGCTGAATTCCCACTTGTACCCCACAAATGACTGCAGTGGCTGAGAGAGGTCAAGGGTGAGTATTATTCAGTCTGCTTTTTCTTGCACTAGGGTCCTAAGCACTGAATGTTTTAAAGCTGAGAAGAGAAAGAAAAAGAAGCAACTTCACAGTGTCTCTGAACACAGCACGTAAGCACAGCATGGGGTGGAACCCAGGGCCTCCCAGGCTTAGCACATGCTCTACCTCCAAGCTACACGTCCAGCTCCTGAGGCAAAACCTTTTTCTTCCATTTTGTTAACTGCCCAGAGAGGTCACACTAGAGTGCTCTTACCAGCTTAAAGCTATAAAGGCATAGAAACCACCACCAAATGGATGTATATTCGAGGCCTGTTCTTCTTAGAGGGAAGCACTACAAGTGGAAATCTCCATCTTCTCACACACCTATTAGCTTAAAAGCTGTGAAGCCCGACACTCAGGGCTCTGCAATCCTCACTCCCACTACAATCTATAGGGGACCCGACCGAGCTCCACACAGGCCCAGTGATGGAGCCAAAATGGAGTCACTCTTGATCAAGTTCCATGCCGGGAAGCTGAAACTAAGTGTTTAGCTGACCTTCCCAGAAACCAAAAGAGAATTATTAGCCAAATCCGCAAACAAGACCAGTGTGGCCGACATAAGGAAGTCCATTCCACATTAACTTTGGAACAACCTGTCCTTTTTGTTCTGCTTCTGGTTTCCTCGCCCTTTTTGTGTCTGCAAAGCCAACCTCCTCCGCTTAGCTCATCAGAAAACTGATTCTGCTTCACAGAAGGAAGTGTTGTCTGGCACAGTCATTTCACATCTGTAATCCCAGCTGCATGGGAGGCTGAGGCAGGAGGATCATAGGTTCAAGGTCAGCTAGGCAATTTAGCAAGACTCTGTATCAAAATAAAATGGTTTTTAAAAGTGATAGGGATGTGGCTCAGTGGTAGAGGGCTGGTCTACCATTCCAGGATCCTGAGTTCAACCTCCAGGACAGCAAAAAAAAAAAAAAAAAAAAAAACCAGGTCATTCTCCACTCCCATTTCATAAACAAAGGACAGCTAGAAGAATTACAATAGCTTAAACTGTGGGAACAATTATAAAATATAGGTGGCCTCATCCATCTTAATGCCAGACACATCCTTTTATCTGCCAGTCTGCCAATGGATTCTTCGGTTTCTGTGTGTTTTGGTGACTCATGGCTCAGATTGTGAAACAGAACAAATGACAAGAGTCCCCATCCCCGCACCTGCGGGCCACTCGCCTCACCCTCTTGTCAGTGATCACAGTTCCGTGGAGAGCTTTGAAGTCACTGATCCAACTGAGAAAAAGAGAAAGGTGAGAGAGGGTCCGTGACCAAGATTCACCAGAGCCATGCGTCAGTTTGTCATGGGTCAAGGCCACCCTCTGCTATCACCTGAATGGAAAATATCCTTCTTCAGAGACAAATGTTTAAAAACCAGGGAATGGTGCTGAGCAGTGGTGCAAGCCTTTGGTCCCACCACACAGGAGGCTGAGGCAGGAGAACCACCCACAGCTACATAGTGAGTTCAAGGGCAACCTGAACTACACAATGAGAGCCAGTCTCAAAAAAACAAAACACAATGGAGGAATAAAGGGGGCTCATCTTCCGGCCCCCACCCATGACCCAAATGGACAAGTCTCAAAATTAAGCCTGGCAAACGTGTAATTGATCAAGCCATTTCCTACCCACCCTCATAATTTACATAAAAGATTGTAAAAGGTTGACCAGGAACTCCAGCCATTTTACTGAAATGCAGCATAGATAAAACCAAGACTTCTGCCTCAGTGCATTGAAAGGCTGAGCTGGAGCAATCAAAAGTTTAAGTACAGGGCCAGGGATTTAGCTCAGTGGTTTTGCTGCCTGCCTCAAAAGCACAAGGACCCAAGTTCGATCCCCAGTACCAAAAAAAAAAAAATATATATATATATATACATATTCTAAAAAGTTTAACTACATTCACAGGAAGGGCTCTTGGTAACTGGGAACTCAAATTAGCAGATAGCAGATAGCACATGCCTGTAATCCCAGCACTTAGGAAGCTGAGGCAGAAGGATTGCCACGTACGAGGCCAGCCTGGACTACATAGTGAGCTCAAGGCCGGCGTGAACTACATACCAAGACCCTGTCTCAAAAATAATTAAATAAATCTAGCAGAAAAGGAGCAGAGCTCGGGCAAGGTATGCTTAGCATCAGGCCCAAGGCCCTGGCTTCCGTCCTCAGCATCCTAAATAAAATTAGCAGAAAAAAGGAAATTGGATTTGCTAAACAGACAGAATATACATGATACAAATATAAGGTATTAGGTATGAAAAATATCCTAACCACCTGTAATTAATGGTCACTCCACTGAAGGAGCAGGAAATGATATATGATAGACTAAATCTCCCCCAAATGTCTGGAAAACTCATTGAGCAAGTTCAAGATGCAATTCTAGCAGGGCGTGGTGGCTCACTCTTGTAACCCCATCACACTCAGGAGACTGAGGCAGGAGGATGAGTTGGAGGCCAGCTAGACTACAGTGTGAGCCCTCCATCTCCTCTCAAAACAAAAACAGAAGCAAAAACCCCCAGCAGTTTCTCTGCCCAAAGAGAAGAGTAAGGCAATGAGGTCAAGGCAATGCGGTCACAGACCTGTGAAATTTACCTAGATCTTTTTTTCCCTCTCACATCTTAAATGTCTACAATCAGACAACTCTTCGAGGTCCTTATTACCCCCCATCCTCAAGTTCTACACAAGGGTTGTTTTTTAGTATGGTCAACCATATCCTTCTAAAGAACAGAGACGCTGGAAAACAGATCTAAAGCACAAAGATCGGGCGGTCCCGATGAAGCACCCCAGTCTGGACGCCCGAAGGTAGCGAGTGCAGTCTCTCCCGGAGTTTCTGCACCACCTCCCCGGAAAACAGTAGAGGCAAAGCTCTCCGACGCCTTCGCATCCTCCGAGGGTTTCCAAGGACGCCCCCCTTCCCCGCCCCCAGCATTTGTTTATCCAGCTGCGTCCACCGGCCGGGAACGGGAACTGAGCGGAAGCGAGCGCAGGGCTCCGGCTACTTGGTGAAACCTTTCGTCCGCCCCTTTTGGAAACGCAGCGTCTGCCCAGGTTCTCCCTGGCTCGCACACAGCGAGCTCCACCCCAGGATCGCTGCATCCAGGAGCCGCTGCCGCAGGAGCCCTGGGCACCATCTCTGCGCTCCAGACGAGCAGGCACCGAGGACGAGGGTCCGGCCCCAGCGCCGCCTCCCGGCATCTTGGGTCTGGGGCGCCGGGACCCCGCTGCCTAGCGGACGGTCGCTTCTCCGCGATGCCCGGAGCAGCTCATCGCCCGGGGCTGGGTGGCTCGGGCGGGAGAGAGCGGGGCAAGGCTCCGCGGCAGAGGGCGGGGGCGGGTTTACTCCTGCGGATGGCGCAGTCGCCTCCCCTGGGGACCCACGACAAAGCCAAGAGCCACCCCACCGGCCCCACCCCAGCGCGGAAGACCCTGCAAAGCCTCACGAGGGGTTTGCGCTCCCGAGTTTGCAGCCGGGCTGGACGCACTGAAGTTCTGCCGCGGAAATCAGGGGGACCCCTCCCTCCCCAGAGCAGGTGGCCCCGCGAGAGAGCCTACCTTCGTGGCGGGGTCCGCGGGGTCGATGGCCGGGTCTCCGGCCGGGTCGGGGGCCGCCTCCTCCGAGAGGCCGCTGCGGGGCTCGGGCTCAGCCGGAGGATCACCCCCCGCCGGCGCCTGCTCGGGGCCGCGCTGCCTGCTGGAGCTCGCAGCGCCCATGGCTCGCAGTGGCGACGCCTTCCCCAAAACCGAGAGGACGCGCGCTCGCCGAGTGCCAGGAGCGCCTCCCCGCCGCGTCCTCCCGAGAACGCGCCGAGATGCGAATGCGAGAGACGCGCTCGCTGCAAACTCCTTAAAAGAAAAAAAAAGCCACCACCTCTTCGCCTCCTCCCCGCCCTGCCCTCCTCCCCCGCCCCGACGCTCCCTCGCTCCATCACATGAGCGCAGCCCGGACACGCCTAGCAGCAGCATCCCCCGCAGGTTCCCTCACCGGGACCGGGACCGGGGCGCCTCACCACCCAGGTCTCGAGGAGACGCCCGCCCCGACCCCCTGGGCGCCGCCCGCTCCTAACGGGTGGGAGCTGCGGGGCCGACCCAGGGCTGCAGAAGGTTGAGGGACAGCAAGAAAGGGAGCCCAACTCGTCCCGGGGACACGGGGGTGGCTGGGTTTTGTTCAAAGACTGATGACCCAAAGCTGGCGCTTCTGCGGCGCCGGCTTGCAACTGGCCCAGGAGCGAACCCCAGTCCGCATTTACTCGCCTTCACATTGTGTCTGACTTAAACCTCGGTTCCTGCCTCCTCCCCATGAGCAGGGGGAAGACAAGCGCTCCGGGCCATATTAGGGCGGCTCGCGAGGCCCAGCCGGGAACTAGGGGTGCCTGCGTCAGCCCGCGGGCGAGGTGGGCCGGCGGCCCTCGCTCTCCACAGTCCGGAGGCTGTGATGTCAGCCCACGCCATCGGCAGCGCTCCCGCCCTCCTCCCCAGGGAGCTGGGGGGAAATGAGGCTGTTACTGGAAATGTGCCTGGCCCTCTCGGAGGGCCTCAAGCGGGAGGCCACCCACTCAGGCCACTTGTCTCCGTGATGCTGTAGCACGGTGGCACACGTCTGTTCCTTCGCCATCAGTGTTTTCAAAAGATGAACATTTGGAATGCTGGCCGCCTAAGCGGCTTGCTTTCTCTTCCTTCCTCCTCTTGAATACAATATGCACAGAGCAAGTAGTCAATAAATATTTGATTTCAATTAAATTTTTTTTGCTAGAGTATTTGGCACACAAGCACAAAGATACTCAGGCTGAAAGGCAAAAATTATCCCAGTTATATTTAACTGGCAACTAAGTGCCTCGGTTTGCACAAATTATTGGAATCTCCATTAAAAATTCAAGAAGCTTGGGCTAGGGGTATAATTCAATGGCACAGTGCTTACCTAGCACACAGAAGGCCAGGGTTCCACCTCTAGCACCACCACGAAAAAAAAAAAAGAAACTTTAGGAATATTGACACTAGATGCCAAATAAATACCCAATCCCAGATTCAGTACAAGTTAGTAGAGAATTGACAGAAGCAGTAGTTTAGCGGTGGGATATTTTGTGCCTAATTCATTATTAGTAGTCCATTGACACCTTGGGAACCACTGACTAGCATACATTTGTTTTCTGAGTTTATCATTTTCTTTGAAGGTATACACAAATGTTAGTTTTTCTGGGCTTTATCCCTTTTAGAAACAGTAAGCTGGGGGCTCCCCAGCTTAGCTCAGTGGTGCCGCCTGCCTCGAAAACAGAAGGTCCCTAGTTTGATCCTGGGAACCAAAAAAACAACAAACAAAAAACCCACAGAAACAGTAAGCTGGGCATGGTGGTGTATGCTTGTTATCCTAGCACTCTGGGAGGCTGAGCAGGAGTATTGAAAGTTCGAGTCTGACTGGACAACTTAGTGTATCAAAAAATAAAAAAGGCCTGGGGATATGGCTCAAAGTGAAGGCCCTGGGTTCAATACCCAGTGCCAAAAAAAAGAAAAAGGAAATAATATATTTGCAAAACACTTGGTCTTAAATTTTGACTACTTAGGAAACATTACAGTTTTCATTTGGTGCCAGGCACGGTTGAGAGCAATCAGCAATCATCCTTAGCCTAACTCCATGGTGAAGATACTCGAATTCTCATTTTGGGTGTTGGAGGAGAAGCTAAATTATGTGCCCAAGGTTTCAGAGCTTGGAAGAGGAAGGGCTTCAGCAGGCAGGCGGCCCCAGGGTACACATGGAACCACTGCCCATCACCACGGCCCCCTGTGGAAGAAGATTTCCTCTGACCTCCCTTTGTCTCGGGGATGTGAGTGGAAAGGGCCTTTTAGATGTCACTTAGGATAAGAGCTTAAAAATGCTGTTAAAACCTTCAGGCCAGCGTGCGCAGCTTCTGTGCCAGGCCCTGGGTTCCATTCCCAGGAGTTTAAAGACAAGGAAAGAAAAGAAAGCCCATTTGAGAATGATTAAAGTCAGCACATCTCAAAATGTATCAATGAGTAGTACAAATACTATCACAAATCTACCCATTCTGAGAGATTTTATTCGGTTCTTGGGAAATTCTTGACAAAGCTCTTCACAATCAGCAGCCTGTCACCATTCAGAAAGGGTTACAAGGTCAAGGATTTCAAGGCAACAGTACAAACCCGAACACTGAGGAAGACATTGCCAGTGCCCATTGGATTCCCAGCTGCTTGCTCTGTGTTGATTTTCCAGGCTATGAAAATGTTCATGTTCTTATTTTTTTTTAATGTACTGTAAGGGGTTGAGGATGTACCTCAGTGGGAGACAATAAACCTGGCACTCTTCAGGCCCTGGGTTGGATTCCCAGCAACACAAGAGCCCAAACAAGAACTGCAAGGGCCAGGGATTTAATTCAGTGGTTCTGCCGCCTTCGTCACAAGCACAAGGTCCCAAGTTCGATCCCCAGTACCAAAAAAACAAAACAAAACCAAGAACTGCATTCTATTATTTTAGTATTCTCTATTCTATCTGAAACAGTTTAAGGAGAAGAGGGTAATAAGAATACAAGCTCAGCAGTCATGAAGGCCCACTCCCTGAACTTGGGAAACTGAGTCAAGAGGATCTAGAGTTCATCCCAGCCCAGGCAATTTATCCAGACCCTAACTCAAAAAGTAAAAATAGCCAGGTGTGGTGGCACATGCCTGTAATCCCAGCACTCAGGAGGCTGAGGCAGGAGGATTGTTGTGAGTTGGAGGCCAGCCTGAACTACATAGGGAGACCCTGTCTCAAAAATTAAAAATAAAGGGGCTGCGGATGTACCTCAGCTGCACCACACCTACCTGGTAAGCCCTGAGTTCAATTCACAGTACCTGAAAAAAATAATAATAATAATAATAATAATAATAAAGGACGAGACTGTAGCTCAGTGGGAAAGCCCTCAGTTCAAACCCCAGTACAAGAAAAAAATACAGGCCCTTTTTCGGATTCATGCATCTCACTCCTGGATTGATAAAGAATCCTAGGGCTGGGGATTTAGCTCAGTGGTTTTGC